TTCTTCAAAGTGACAATTCACTTTAAAAGTTTTAGAGAGTAGGTGTAAAATATCTAATGATTCCGGTGTAGGCATTAGTTTGCATTTTCAAGTGCGATGCATACGGTGACGGTCGAACGTTTATCATGAATACACACTTACGAATATTACGCAACAAAGATAATGAAAAAAAAAAAAGAATTCTTGCGGAAGACATTGTCGCAATCGACGCGAATACGATTGGCGCGTTACATGCGTGCGATTGACGTTAAATTTAGGTGATGAGTAAGCGCAAAAAAACACCGTTTAAAAATATACGATACTATTCGATCGGTCCGCTAAATCGGCCAATATGGGTTTTCTTGACCCAGATACGATGATTAATTAGGAAGGAAAGGGAAAGGAAGGGCTCTTTGTCGAGATATTTCGCGTGCGTTCCGATAGTCAATTAATGTAAGAAGAAAGGGTGCGGTATGTCAAGAGAAGTAAAGAATAGAGAAGATCGATACTCGACCATTAAAGTTAGGCCGCTTTGAAGACTGATCGATAGTTCTCATTAAAGAAAAAGTAAAAGAAGAAACAAATTGATTTTGCAATATCTTATGTAGGAGACTCAAGCATAATAAGCAAAAGTTTCGACATTCTAGCAGCTATATAAATTATTTCGACAGTCTAATAAAATTATTTTTATATCTGTATCTGACTCACTTTATAGATGTTTAAGCAAAACTGTTCTTTATAAAATTAAAAAAATTTATATTATAAGTTATTATACTTATCGTTATAACCAAGAATTAGACATCGAATTCTTATGGAATTTCATATTTTTTTAGAAAGCAGCTTGGAAAATTAACATCAAAATAGAAATTTATCTTAATAAAAAAAGCATTCTGAAAATACATATTTATTTGTGCACATTGTGCATATTTGTACAAATTTGTATACTTTGTGCATGTCTGCAAAAAATATCTGCATAAAAATCCGATGTCTACTAATAATGAGTGTTTTCCATTTGACACAAGCATCGTTCTATCCTTTTTGACATTCAGAGAGTGATAGAGACAGAATGACACTTGTGTCTATTTGTGTCGATTTGTGTCATCAAATGGAAAGCACTTGATCGTTTGCGATCGAGGATGCTGCTGCGCATTCGTACGCGCGAACAGTAGATTGATTTTGCAAATCTTATCGAATTTATCACGAATCTTAGAAGACCTCCTGCTAATGATATTGATAAGCCATCGCGATTCCGCAAAACACACGCAAAAGTCGTCTCGAGTGTTTCATATGAATACGAGAAAGGCCAGCGTCAATTAAGTGATTTGTAAGTAGTTGTGCATACAAAAATACATACATCGTTGTGACAAGTCACAATTGCTCTATGAAAAGCGTAAATTACGATACGAGTAAGACGTGGCCTTTCCAAGTCACGCGTATTTACGAAGCACATCTAAAGATTTTGCTATGCGAAATTGCACATATTTTATTTTTATACCTCAGTCACGATTAACGTGCGACCTTCCTTTACCTCGCACACATAAACGCAATTTCTTGTGCTTTATAATTTTTGCGAAACTTCTCTTCGGAGTTTGTCGAAGTATTTTTTCGTACTACATACATTCATAAATATACATAAAATATCTATACATATATAAATATTACATATTTAAATATATATAATTGTTTTTATTAATTAGAATATAATAATAATAATAATAGTCATTAATGATAGCTCCGTCAAATCAATAATTTAGAATGATTTAGAAATAGCGATCGAACGGGTAAGAGCAAAAATTAAATTCTGCACGGATGCGATTGTCACGATCGAGCTATTACAGCACTGTAAAACGCTCTCTGAATGATCGGTTACATCACTATCCAAGCCTCCTTGTTTACGCATCACCGTTTACATTCCGTTACCTTTTATCACCGACAATTTAACATTTGATCGACCGATTCAATTCGAAAAAAAAAAAAAAAAAAAACGTTGGTCTTATTATAATATTGCGCATCAAGCACTTTAATCCGCCGATAACAATACAATAATAGTGATCCGGCGTGCTAAATGTCATCGTAAGATTCCGCGCGGGCGGAAGGTATCGGCGATTCGCGATCGTTCGCGTACTCACTTTTCGTCGGAGAGCGCGGGATCTTCTCTCTTTTCCCTCGGGATCGATCGCGCAGGTGCACCGGTCTGCGTGCCGACACGGGAAAACGTACGCGGATGCTGCACACGAACGAGACCGCGGAACGTGACGTGACGTGATGCGACGTGGCGCGGCGAGGCGAGAGACGCGGTAAAAGATCGCACGCAGGTCCAGCAGCACGCGCGCGCGTTCCGCTCGCAATAGGAGATGACCAGAAACTGTGCCAAGAACAGTGCCGCGGCGGCCGCGCCAAACCGCGATGTGGCATACACCTACGACGCCGTAACACACCTACATCGGTGCCACGGGTCGGGTGCACCAACACCGCGCGGCGACGACGGGGAGACCTACGCGGACGGACGCGCGCGTATCGGTCCCGCGGTGCGCTACCGCGACTTACGCGAACGGCGTGTATCGCGAACGTGAGACGCGTTAGGAGAGCGCGGGGAGAGCAATAGGAGATCTAGATGTATAGCGCGATCCTTTTATTTCAGCGCCAAACGCCGACAACTTTCCTATTACTGACCATTTTCATCACTATTCTTGTTCTGATTGTCTGTCGTCAAATAAGCATATATAATGAGCATTATAAGTAATTATCCAAGCAGAAGTCATTGTGATATCAAAATGATTCGAAAAATGATCGTTAAAAGTCATTTTTCAATCATTTCCACGATTCATTTTAATCGTCATTTTAATAATCATTTTGACGTTATCGTGACTTGTTCTGCTTGGGTTATAAATGGGTTATAAGATTGATATATTATAAGTAACAAATATATAATAAGTAAGCTTTTGATAATTCTACAATATGATACGATTGTTAAGTCAAACGTGACCTTTGCTTTTCTTCTTTTATACGAATCGCTCTCCGCGCGAGACTTTATCTCCGGCTCCGAGGAACGTGGCTGGAGCCGCTCGTGACAGGCCGAGGGTAAACTTCGCCGCTCATACGATCCTCTGTACGAACGCGTCGCACGTCTCGCTCCCCCGGGAAAGTCTCGGCGTCTCCGCGACTTTCCACGCGAGCTACATCTCTGTCGAACTCCTTCGACACGGTCGTTAACCGATCGTTCGAGGAGCCGAGCGGTGACGAATTAATAAAATTTCACGTAACTTTTCTACAGATCTAAAAAAGTATATTTTTTACTCGACGTTTCGTTCAATTTTCCTGATGAGAAATCATGCCCGTTTTATTAAAATTTTCCGCGCGTGAAAAAACTTATCGCTATGCAAGTACATACTATAAGTAAAATAGAGAGACTCGCAATATTCTAAGACGTAGTCGCAAGGTCAAGAGTGGAACGTTTCTGCGTTCTTAGGTTTATAATTGAATTATAAGGACATACAAACGTGATTCGAGTAAAATTGTTTTATGAAAAGCGTAAATTATGATACGAGTAAGATATGCCCTTTCCAATCTATCTGCAAATGTGTATCGCGATTTACAGAGAGTGACGTGTAATTATGTGTATCGTTGTTACGCCACAATGTAATTTTCCAGGTTCTAGAGGAAAGAGTTCAAGAGGAATCGACGTGCTGCACTAACGTGCTCGTTAGTTTGCGCACGTTGCGTGACCTCGAGATAACACCGCGATGAACCGACTGACATTGCCGCTATATTTGCGCACATAGGTAATGAATGGTTTTACACGCGTGAATGACTATTCCATCAATCGAGAAACGAGCGTTCATTGCGGCAATTCCGAGTAATTAAACTTTCCTCATTTTTCGCATATGTGTGTGTATGTGTACTTTTATGTGTATATATATATATGTATATATAT